GTATTGCTTGGATTGAAAGTTTCTTTTTGTATCTCTGGAGCCGATTTCATCCACCAGTCTCGGTATCTTGCAGTAACTGAAGCCGTGGCGAGTCGGGAAGGAATGTATACCTTTAAACCATTAAGAGACTGATTGTAATCATCCCAAACTTTCTTCTCTGTGAAGTTGCGGTTTTCATGAGTAACCAAAACAGGAACATCTTGAGCGATACCGAACTGCATTGTCACTCGATTCGGATAGTAATCCTCAACAACACCAATCCCAACAAGCTTAGAAACTCTTACACATCGAGCAAACGAAACAAACTCATCATCATCATCACCAAGACTGTCACCAATCGTAATCCATTTAGCTTCTTCGGCGTAAAACCTTGGTGGATTCCAATTCTTTAAAGGTTTAGTATAAGGACGCCACTCAAAATCATCAAGAAGAATCAGTCCCTCATTTCTCTGTATCAGACCACTCCATTGAGCAATCCTTGGTTTACCTCTTGGTATCACTTTAGCTTCAGGTCTTACGCTCTTGAATCTCTCCCATATCCAAACTTGGACTAACTTAAACAGAGATTTGATATAAACATTTTGAGTAGAGGCTAAATCATGGATCACATCCAAATCTCTGTAAAGAGTTGCAAGAACAGCAGGAGCAAGAGCAATCCTTTCACCTCTAGCTAATCGAACAGCGAGCAGCAAAACATTTCTCGAAATCGAACAACGATACTTATCAGGAAACACAAAATTAGAAAGCCATAACACAAGAAAAGCTTCATGCTCTATTTCATCATCTTTAAAGCTTGAAATCCATGAAACCTGCTTCTCATCAGTCTTATCTCTTTGTTTCTCAAGTTTCTCCAACGTTTCTTTCATCTCTAAGCTTTCGAGAGGAGCAAACACAGAGGAACCAGAAATCGAAAAACCCATTAGCACATTTACATCCTCGAGGGTGATAGTTGCTTCACCCCAAGGGAAAACGAAGGTTTTCGTCTCTGGACACCATTTTTGAGCGAGAGAGAGAATCAAAGAAGGGTTTTTGTAGACTCTGTAGGTTGATGACTCGATTGCTTCAAAGATCCCAGCTTTGATCCAAGTGGGTTTGTGTAAAGTCGCCATTTTTTCAGCCCAAAGCTTGAAATTTTTGTTCGGTAACCTCCATCCACGAAAGGAAACATATAAAGACGAAAGCTTTATCTCAGGAGAAGAAGCTGGACGAAGCATAGCTTCAGATTCATCAATGGAGGTGGGCTTTTTAGAAAAATGAGACTTTTTTTGTTCGCTAAGAGACACCATGAGCTCATCTCTCTCTTCGACAAGATTTACATCAATGGATGTTGAATCCATTTGGAGAAGACGAAGATTGAAAAGGAAGAAGAAAACCTAGAAAAAAAAAGCTCTTCTTTTATCTCTTTTGTTTCTTTAAAGTTTTGAACTTTGAAAGTCAAAGTAGCAGAGTGAGCTGGGTGTTAATGAAATAGGTCTTCCTTTATACGGTAACTGGAA